GGGGATTTTCATCTCTTCGTTTCAGTTTATTTTTGCCTTCACTAGCAAGAAGCACATGTCTGATACCACGACGTTGTCAATCCTGGTATCCTATTACTGCATGCCAGGCATTTAAACCAGAGGAACCTGCTGCTACAGCACTCTCTTTAGTTAATCTTTTTATTAGTATCTCCCAAATGTAAAGAGATACTGTGAGATTGTGGCTGTTTCTCTTCAGTGGCTCTCTTATGTAACAGACAGTCTTGTGGAATTACACTGCTGGTCCACTGCAGTGCTTTCTTATTTTATATATATATGTATATATTAAAAGCATTGTAAATCCACATTGCCACTTTCAAAAGTTATTTTTATCCATAAAAAATGTTTTTCAAAAATTCTTTAGGGTTGATTCATATACAAGCCCTGCTTTTCAAAAGCTGCCAAGTGTTTTTGCACATATCTTTATCTTAATGTAAATGCTAGTGTGCCATTCATTAGAATTTATCTGTTATAGAAATTGTGTAATTTAATGAAATTAATGGCATCTGAGTAAAATAGAGCATTGGGAAAAATATTATTTTTAATTTTTAAGTAAAGACATTATTCAATAAAGTCTTTATTTGGATGCGGGCAGGTATGCTCTCCTTTCCATTTTGCTGTGTTTTACCTGTGTATTCACCTATATCAGCTCAATACTGGAGACCATAGATTGGAAAGAAATGCTGATTTTTGCCTCTAGTGTCGTTCAGAGATTAGAAGTAGAACAGCAATAAAGATTTGCATTTTTGGTAGGGTTTAGATTTAAGGTTTCTTGCAAATCTTCTTGCCCTGAGCTTTTCCTCTGAAACTAGAATGCGAGAAGGGTGGCAAGCGGGGCTGTTGTCTAATCCCTCTTGCAATGAGATTTCAGGTATTTCATGTAGCTTACAAAAAATCTCAATTAACATCACAGTAGTTATTCTTGATTAATATCTGCATGTTATACCTTGAGAAACAGAACGTATTTGATTACTCACCAGCTTGCAAAATCTTTTGGTTTGCATTAAATAAAGCCAGGATCAATGTTACAAACCATTGTAAAATATGTTCTCTGTGATGAGATAATGTAATAGAAGAGAGTTTCAAAGTGCTCTGAAACCTTGTTAATATTTTGGGCTCTAAGACAGAATCTTGGGCAGAGCAAGTCGATAAAGCTGGATGTTTTTCCAGGCAAATGAATTTGCCTGGAGTGTCTCATCGGTGCATCACTGAAAATCAATGCACAGTACAGCTTGGGCTGTCTCCCTCCGTATATTCTGTTTTGAATGTCTCCTAGAGAAATATCAAGATTAAAATTTCAGGATGGGGGGTTACCCTTGTAAATGAGGTGAGATCTTGTTTGATTGTGCAAAATCGTTTTAATGCCTCTTTTTTGTTTCTATTGCAGAATTGGAATATGGCAACTCATATGAAATAGAATATATGGAGAAAATAGGCTCCTCTGTGCCTGTAAGTCCTCACTTCCGTTTCCATTCATTTGCATTCCCTTGTCATAATGGAGTCCTGATAATGCCATCAGCCTCACTATTCCTTAAATTAATTATAGTGTGCCTGCAGCAGATTTGCAAACCCAGTTCCTTTAAATTGACATAACTGGAATAAATTGCATGTGCGTGGTTGTCCTAAATCCCGTGCAGTTTTTTCCATTTTATTATTTGATTTTTTAACCTAGGATCATCATAGTTCTCTCTGGAGGTTTAGAGCAGTTCTCTATTCCCAGGAGTGTAGAGTTCAGAGCTGTCTGTATCAGCTGTTGGGAGAAGAAAGAAAAAAAAGTGAAACTTCTGAGAAAATGATGGAGAGAAACAGGAGATAAAACAGAATGGATGTAAAATATGGAGTACAGTACTGTAGATTATCGGTGGCTTTTCCTAACTCCTATGTAATTAATGAATTTGATAGCTTTATCAGATCTCATGTGTGTACATCTGCAGTGGAAGTTAGGGAAATCAAGCACGTATGTGAGGTGCTCAAACTGAGGAGAACGAAGCTGATCTTAATGAGTATTTTGGTAACACTAAGTCCTACTTGACAGGATCAGAAATTTACTTAGAGGAAGGCTCGTTTGCAAAGAGTGACCTCTTTAGCTTATGATCTTTAACTATTTATTCCTCAAAGAGATCATCTCAGTTTCAGCAAAAACTGCATTACTGTCCCGTATTATCAAGTCCCATAGTATCAAGTATGGTTTGTCGAGTCACTTGAGGCAGTGAATTAGCTTTCCTGGAGCGTGGTTGATCTGGTTAACGAGTCCTTCCTTTCCTGTTGCCAGCAGGATGACAGCACCCCGAAAAAACAATCTTTGTACTTGATGTTTGACGCCCAGCAAGAGAGCCCGGTCAAGTCGCCTCCCATGAGGCTGTCGGATTCCACAACGCCGTGCTCAGGGTATGGCACCGCAAGGAAATTCAGCAACGAAGGGTGTCGGAGAAGTGGGCTGCCATAAGAGTGTGTACACAGGCAGTTCTTCCTTCACTGCTTCTGCTTTTGCCAAAATTTGAGTTTAAAAATAGATTCCCATCTGTGTTCGCATATGATAGAGAATACAAGGAAGAAAGGAAATAGGAGATGCAGAAATTGTATAATGAGGGGAATAAGGACACGCATTCCTCCATCATATTCTTACTAAAAAAAAAAGTCACACTGTCAACTGTTTCTCTAGACCATTGCTTCCTACATAGCTTTCTTTTTCCTGGGGTCATTTTCATTTTCGCCTAGAAATGTAGTTGCAGCTCCTTGCTTGGCCTTTCCAAGCTGTATTCTGTGAGCAATGAATTTAGAGCTTAAGAGCAGGATGTGTGGGTTGTATTTACTTTCGAAAATTTGTGCTTGTTAAGGACATCTGTTCTCAGTAAAAGTTGGTCCTTAGGAGAAATTTAGGTCACAGTGCCAACAGGGTAAAAAGACAAGTAAGAAACATTTAAGGCATGTGCATATCCTTTCTGATGGAAATGGGCTTATTAAAATGGTTCCTATGTCCCTTTTGAAAAGGTATTTCCAAAGTGTTGTGAGCTACAATGATTTAAAATCGAGTTGCAATAATTTATATGTTTAAAAAAAAAATGAAAGTTTTGCAGAGTGCTTGGTTAACTGTTAGCAGAGTGGCCTTGTAGTGCACTCTGGAAGCAGGTATGCAATTCCCAGGTCAAGTTTTGAAGACCCTGAGACCCAGCAACCCTCTGGGATGAAAATCCAACATCCGGCCTCCCGAGTGCTTGCTGCCAGTCAAGAGGCACACTTACAGTCCCCGGACAAATCCAAGCAGAAGGACCTCGAGCCCATGACTCTAGGAACAGTTTCAGAGACCATTGAAATAGTAAGTAATTTATGATGAGTGTTTGGGAATTATCTTCCTGTAGAAAATTCTCATGTCATGCAAGAGACGGCACAGTTCGAGCTTGTAAACAGAGTGAAAACTCAGCGTGGTGCTTAAAGATTTTAGTAGCAGCGTGTTGACAGGATCCAAACAAGGGTGACAGTTTGAGAGAGCACTGATGGAATTCAGAACAAATTTCATACAAAGGCTTTTTTGTGCTGTGTTTTAACCCAATATTTTTATTTTATATATAAAATTACTTATGTTGTATTTTTAATTTGTATATAAAATAACTGTTCTTATAAAAACTACAGAACTGGTTTTGCTCTGTTACATATGGTGCGAGTTTCCAAGATTTGTGGTAATGAGCAGGTACTCTTTCACATTTCTTTTATAAACCGTTAACTGTATAGATGTCATCTGATGCTGTAGATGTAAAATTCACTTCTTCACTGATCATTAGAACTCAATCCAGCTTCTGGTTAGATTGCGCTTTTTGGTGACTTCTTTGCATCACTCTGAATCTGTTCACCATCACGTTATGTATTTATCCAGATTAGGTCTGTGACTATAGTGAGCACAACTGAATTTACCTCCTGTAAACAGCAAAAGACTTTATGGACGCTTCAAGAAGAGTCCTGCTAAGGTTCCCCTCATGTTGGGTGATATTCAGAGCTTTGAGATATCTGAACTGGGCAGCACCTGTTCTTTGAGCACAACTCATGGTGTTGGTGCGAAAAGTGTTGTAAAAAAATCAAGAATGGCCAGGGAGCTGCACTTTGCTTTCGAGGTCCTAATATCATTTATTTCATGTTCCTATCTTGCAAGATTTTCTCAGTTTTTATAGTAGGAATAATTATTTTTATGTCTCTTACACCTATCAATCAAATGCCTTTGAAAGGGAGTCTTTGCTGTGCTGTCAAATTACCGAGAATCAAAGATTTGTAGACAGAAATGTCACTTTAGGCCTTAACTGCTTGTGCAATCGCTGTAACTTACACTCTACCCTCCTTACACTGCAGACATCTCCTGAGGACTCCTTTGTCTCTGCGGACGCCCTTCTCAATAGGATATCTAAGAAAACTGCAATATGTGATCAGCCTGAATATCTAGATCCTGACTTAGCGGAAAAGAACCCTCCAGTATTTGCTCAGAAACTTCAGGTTTGTAGCAGAAACTAAATGTCCATTCTCTTTCTTTCTGTCCTGTCTGAAAGGTGAGAAGGGATGGGGAGGGAGAGCAAAAAAATAATTCGGTTCTTTCCAAAGTAGTTTTAGCCTTTTAGGAACTTGAGGATCACACATTTTAATTTAGCTTCATGTATGAGCATTAGTAAATATATGGATGTGTATATTTTGTAAAAGTCTTTATAAAGTCAAATCTTTTAAGCTTGAGCACAGGACACAGTGTAGAGGGTTGTCTTAACTCATGGCTTTAGTACTTCAGTATGTGCAGTGATTTCCAGAGATTTAGGCCCTAATACTGCTCTCTGAAGTTAAAGAACTGGGTAAAATGAAAATTAGACATTGTTTTTTCAGCTAAATTATCTAACATAGAATTTGCATGGCCTCTTCTAGGAAATCTTCCATAAGGCAATTTTCTGTGTCAGGACATGTTTTCTAGAATATTCATATTCAAATTTGTAAATGGCAGGAGCTGGCGTAATTTAGAGAAAATGTGAAAAACAACTTTAATTTAGGAAAGATTTATCTTTCCCAGAGAGTTGTTAATCCCTATTAAGAATTGTTTGTCTCTATAGCTACTTCCAAACTAAACCAAACCCAGGGTTTTCTATAGCAGTTCTCATCAAGAAAAGAATGTAAGATGTGTGTGTGTCACCCAGGAATTGCCATCATGATGCTTTAAAAGATAGTCTTCCTTTTTGGGATGTGTTAAATGTTTTCAGTGTGTTCTTAATAAATATTTTTTTCCTGTGGATTGGTCATAACCAAACACTCGACAGGAGGAGTTAGAGTTTGCTGCAATGAGGATAGAAGCCCTGAAGTTAGCCAGGCAGATTGCCCTGTCCTCCTTCCGCTCCCTAGATGCCGAGGTATCCGTTTTGTGCCTGCCGTGTGTGTGTGAGCACAGATTACCATACAGAGTGCTGCTTTTTCCTTAACAAATAAGGTAACTAAGCCTCTCGGAGCGCAGTTTGAAGCACCCAATGTGTTTGTGCCACCGAAGCGCATGCTGAAAGCAGTAGTGCACACTGAGAAGCACCTACTCATGCTCACAAAGGCAGGTTAGAAGGCAAGAGGCAGGCTTGTGTCTATTGCAGAAGACAGCCAGATTGTGGAGTTTGATGGCAAACCACGTAGCAAACATATTTCTTAGAAGATGGTACACATTTTGGCTGGTGGGGCATTTTGCCTGGTTATTTCAGGTTGAAATCAGACCTCTGGATGCTCAACGTTAAGAAGGGACAAATTCAATTGCCAGCCCAAATCACGCGTCTGAATCTCTCCAGCGGTTCTGAAAGAGCTCTAGGGCTTTCAGGGAAGATGCCACCCCAACACAAAGTGTTTTCATTAATAACATCTGAAGCTTTTTGTATCGCTGCTCCTATAGCATGCTGGTTAGAGCCTCATCAGTGTCAGCGGGACATGGTCAACTCAAAGCTGCTCTAGGATGCATGTGGTCCTGTACTAAAATGCTAGTTCTGATGTGCTCTGCATTGGGTGGTTAGTCACTATATGAGTCTTCCATGTGCTTTTAACAAAAAAATCAAAAGCCAAAATGTGTTAGTGGCTTTTTGGGTTGTGGTGTCAATAGAACATTGGCATGTGGCAGTGTCTGGATGCAATGAATGTTTTATTCCAAAGGAGGAGAACACAGTTCTGACCTATCTTTCACCAGTGAACTTCTCTTATTATTCTCGCCATTAATGAATCTGTGGCAAACATTTCCCGTGGTCTTCTATCGTCTTAATATTTGTGGAGTAGTTCAGTGCATAGCTGTGGTTGTGCCAGTTTTAAAGCATAATGTTCTGGTGCTCTAAAGATCTAAAGTAGCTGGTTCATAAAGGATTTCTTTCTAGGTGAACTATGCTTTGATTTAAAAAATAATGCATGGTTTGATTATGTCTGGTTTATTGTGTTTACCTTAAATAGCCCATGAGCTAGCTGTTTCCACGATGTGTGTATACTTACCAAAATGAGCTCATTCCTTACAGATTTACAGATGTTTTTAAGTATATGGCCATAATCTTCTTTTTATTTTTAATCAAGAAAACCCTGCTGCTGTCTTCGGCAGAAACTGAGCTTATTTTTCTTAATAGGAATAGCAATTAAAAAGAGAAAGGACTAAACAAAAAAGCAATACCGTTTTCCTGTTTGAGTACTCATGTGTAACTGCCACATTGTATTAAGTATTTTTTTAAAAAAATTTTAAGTATTTTAAGTATTATATTTAAGTATTTTAAGTATTATTAAACTCACCACAGCCCTGGTGAGGCCGCATCTGGAGTACTGTGTCCAGTTCTGGGCTCCACAGTACAAGAGGGATGTGGAGCTGCTGGAGAGAGTCCAGCGCAGGGCTACAAGGATGATCAGGGGCCTGGAACATCTGCCCTATGAGGAGAGGCTGAGGGAGCTGGGCCTGTTCAGCCTGGAGAAGAGAAGGCTGAGAGGGGATCTAATCAGTGTATATAAATACCTCAAGGGAGGGAGTGCAGAGGACGGGGATGGTCTCTTTTCAGTGGTGGCCACTGATAGGACTAGAGGAAATGGCCGGAAACTGAAACATCAAAAATTCCATAGGAACTTAAGGAAAAATTTCTTAACAGTGAGGGTGACAGAGCACTGGAACAGGCTGCCCAGAGAGGTTGTGGAGTCTCCTTCTCTGGAGATCTTCAAAACCCGCTTGGACGCAGTCCTGCGCCACGTGCTTTAGGTGTCCCTGCGTATGCAGGGGGGTTGGACTAGATGATCTCTAGAGGTCCCTTCCAACCCTAAGCATTCTATGATTCTATGATTCTATGATTGTAATGTTGTCCCGAGTGGTCTGTCTTGGAAAAGGAGGAGATGGGATCACTCGGCTGGTTCTCCCCTCCTTGTCCTTCCATTACTCTGCTGTAATGTGCAGCAGTCGGGCTCTCCAGCAGCAGAAAACTTGAGATGAAACAGTTAGATCTGGATGTTCTTTACAGGCTATGCAGAAAACTTCAGTTAGACACCTACATTCTTGCTGCAGCAGAGATTTGAGAAAAATATGAATTCAGACATGTATTAGGTTGTTCTATCCTATTAAATAGAAGGCAGTAAGTTTGCGTGTGTGTGAATCCTCGTGTGTTACCCAGGAAAGATTCTGAGGTTGCACCAGATCACTGCAGCGACATACATTTGGATACCTATCCAGCAGGATTCCCTTCTGGATGGACGGCCGTAGTTATTCTTGATGTGATATAATTACATTAAATGTTTGCTGAACAATTGCAGGATGCATATTAAGCATAGGATACTAAATAAAAACAAATTAGAGCAAATTAAGTGGCATGAAAGTTGAGATTAATTGAAGTATTTTCTGCTAATAGATAGAGGAAAGGTATTTGGCTGCTCCCAAACTTGTTGTCATGGACTTCAACAACAGTAGGGTAGGACTGCTACTTTTAAGATTTACTTTAAGATTAATTAACACTGCTGGATTGAGCCTGTGGCCATTTTTTTTCAATGCAACTTCAATGAGAGGCTGATAGAGTCAATGTCAGTCTTTCCATACGGATATTGCAGTGATGTAGAGTTGTAGTGTTGAAGTCAGATCCCAGTAAAGGAGAGAAAATACAAAGCAAGACACGGGCCAGAATGGAATTAAAATGCATCTCTTCTTTGCAGTGTTCATACTAGTAGGATAGGCTTATTTCCTTCAAACAGATATCTTATCTTTTTCTTTGTGTGCAGAGCATATCCTTGGGCTTTATTGCTCTTCAATATATTTGCAAGCATAAATAGGTCTCGTTACACCTCCATTGACCTGCTGCATGCACAAGAGATGGTTAAGAGATTATTTGATTTGCACTGAAATACTACTTGAGTGCTTGTAAAGAGCAAGCTAATTTTCAACAGGGCTAAATACTTATTCATCTAAATGGTGTAAGAATTATGTTTCATTTTCATTGTGATGCTCTTGCCTGTTTCTTTTTCTTTGTTTTATTTTTGACTTTGACCTTGAATCGAGGTAGCTGTTAATCAGTAGCTGGTTAATCAATATTCATTTAGGTTCATTCTGATCAGATAACTGGTTTCTGTAAAAGATTCTGGAAAAAGAAATGCACTGGACTTCAGTATTTAAAGTGAGATTGCAATGACCCACATTTGGTTGCAACTTCCCTGCAGACTCTATATTTTCCGTGAGGTTCAGTGACCTATAAATCCGCATGGCTGTTGCTTCCCAATTAACTGCTTACCTGCTCAGCAGTTAGGAGTTGAACTCAAGGCACTGACAGTTATTTGGAGCAATACCATCATTCTGTTGATCACCTGATCAACATATTTTATAATATTTTATATTTTAGTGATAGGAATATCTGGAGGCAGGAAATAAAATACTCATTTTTATATCATCCTGAAGCTGCATTGAACTCTCTTTTTTTGAGATAAAATCCTGAAGTACTGGCATACTAGTACTGATTCTTATGACAAGGCTGCCTGGGCAAGGACAGAATCCAGGAACCAGACTGAGACTTGTGTGAAGTGTTTCCAGAGTAAGGGCCATAGTCATCACACCAATATAGCAAAAGCTTCTATTAAATAGTTTTAACAGTATTTAGTATACTATATACTATAGTATATACTATTAAAGAGTTTTTATAGTAATTTTTGGAAATTTTCAGTAGTTTTGCATTTTATTAATACTCCCCTTTTGTACAATTTACTCAAATGCAAGACAGCTAGAAAAACATAGTGCTTAATACCTGACTAGTATAATTATATTTTTTAATGCACTGTTGTATGTTAAACAGCTTAATTTTTCTTTTTCTTAAATACTTTCTGTTTGACAGTTTCTTTGACCCGTTTTCATATCAGCTTAAGTAAATTTCTATTTCTTTTACCACAATTAATTATTTCCAGCGATGTCTTCCAGCAAATAAAGCTCCAGAAGGCTTTTGAAATATGATACACACACTTCAGCAGATTGATCTTCATTATAGCTTTTCTCTTGAGGAGAGCTTTCATGTTATATCTCTTTTTCATCTCTGTTTTGTTTTGTTTTGCTTTGTGCTTGAGGAAAAATCTTTTTGTTTGTTTGTTTTGAAGTAAGGATACTGGATTCAGTCTTTTTTATTGGCTAAGCTTTTTACCTTCACTGAGGACATCTCCATGTGCTTTTGTATATATACACATACATATGTATCTGAGCTTGTGTCCCAAATATAGTCATTTATACTAGGAGATATTTTCAAGAAGGCAAGATATAAAATTGCGATGAATCTGGTGATACTTCTTGGCGAGGTATAAAAATTTGCGATGGCTCCTCACAGTCATGTTGGAATTGATCATTATTTTGTATGTTCATGGCCAAATGTAGAAAGGAGAAGGAATAGGCCTGCTCTGCAAATGTTAGAAGCAAGATTTAAATGACTTGCACATTTAGAAATGAACAAAAAATGCTGAGCAAAGAAAGAAGCCTCTTGTATAAGTACATGTGCAGTGTGGTGCTTAGCAAGTACTGTTTAGCTTTTTCTTGACCTAATTAAATTTACTTGCCTAGCCTTTTAGTGTTGCTAGTGTGGTTTCTTCATGTTGCCTACAGATGTGGAATTCCTAATGTTTATCTAGTCCTGTGCTCTCCTAGAGAAAGCACTGAATGTAATTTTTTGAGATGATTTCTTCAATCAAGTGTGATGTGAGAACTCAGGAAGAATTTAAAAAAAAAATGTGTTTTTGGATCCTTGCTATCGTAGGATACCTGAGGAGAACGGAAAGCAAGTGAATAATTTATGGCATAGCATCTAATGTTTTCTTTAACTGTGCCTGTGCAAAAGAATGGTGAACTCTTTTTGTGAGTCCGTTGTGGAGAGAACTGAGCCTTGATTCGGGCACTGTCTACTCACTTGCAAGGATGGGCAAAATCAGAATGTTAAAACGTGACCTCTGGTATCAGCTCAGATTAAAAATCCATAATTTGGAGTGCAGTTTTGAGCCTGGCTCAGCAAGTCAGACACTAATGTGCTTGACCGCTTTGTGCTATGTGCACTATCTTGTATCCTGTTAGGTCACTGAAATTCAAGGCATTTTAGCAATTCTCAGATGTAAGTTTTCTCCTACAAAATTTGTTTGGGTTGGAAGGATTTCATAGCCAAACAATGAGAAGGAAAATACTTAGTAATTGCAAGTACAACACAGTAATCCAGCTCTCCACAAATCACAGCTGGAGTGGGCCCTATTTCTCCAAGGATAAACCTTCCATCTTACTGTGCAGTTCCCACTAGCTCTGCCCAACCATAAGATCCTGCTAAATGAGAGTGGTCACTGAATCCTCGAAGGGACTGCACAGGCCTGTGGATGGCCAGGTTGCTGGAGACCAACTTCTCAACGTGTTTGTAAGCAGTAAAATGAATGGAGGAGCCCTGTCACTAGCACAGACTGTTCTGCTCCATGCAGAGGTTGGAGCCAAGACTTGGATACAGGGTTGGGTGTGGGAAAGACAAAAGAAAGAGTCAGTCTTGCTGCTGCCATTCCCTCCAAGGGTTGTGTCTTGAGAGATGGAGAAAAGGGCAATTCAGTTGTCTTGGGCTTTCGTCAAGGCGCACACGGTCTAGTTGTTTTTCAGAAACATCAGGACAAACCCTCTAATCTGGGGCTGTCCAAAGCAATCGGATGGCCCTCAAGCTCTAGTTCCTGTGACGAGGAGGTGGCAGCCTGTGTCCTGTTGGTGGGAGCACCCTGAGGGTGATGTGACCTCTCTGGGTGCAGTGTCACACACCCGGTGTAGGTAGGGGACAAGAAGGGAGGTACAATTTTGGACATGGATAATAAAGGAGGTCATCCTAGAGGGGGTTACTTTAGGGGGTAAAGTGCATGGAAGAGGCTCTGTGGTAAAGTGTGCAAGGGAAAAAGTCCTGCTAAAGTATGAAAGCACAGAAAGCCAGACTAGTTCTGCTGTGCATGGTGCAAAAAAATGTTTTTTCACGTAGCATCTTCCTAGCTGATTTTAATAATCTCCCTACTTTAAGGAGTGCTGTTTTATTTGGAGTGTTATCTGCAGGGCAGTGTGTTACGTAACTGTTTTGTTTTTCTGTCATCCTCACTGGATGTGCTGCTTGCCTCAAGGCACGAGTGACATTGGCAGCTGCAAATAAAATGTGATTTAACTCACTAATTGCATGCTAAATACCAGAGTGCAGTAACGTCACCTTCCATAGTTTTATGAGAGACCATTTATGATAAATACAGAATATTGACAGGTCAGAACCAAAAGAGTGAGATAATCTTTCTGCTCTGGTTCATGTAGTGTCATGTGTTGTTTTATGGGAGCAGAATTCCCTTTAACAACTTTCCGCCTCTAATTCTAATTTGCTCTCTTCAAATGCTTTTCTCGTGCATATTTTTTCATGAAATTGCTATGTTAGTTGCTAACTTTTGTAAAATCTTGAGGACAAAGTTTTGTCTTTATTTTCTGTGCACAAGGGCAATATGTTTCTACTGATGCTTTCCTTGAGTTTCAAGTGGATGTCTTCTGATTGTTAAATTCAAATTTTCTCATCAATGTTTTTATTACTGATATAATTTAGTAGTGAACAGCATTCTAGTGCTACCTCAAACCCTTGGTACCTAGCACTACACCCAGAACACATATTAGTAAAATAAGTATTTAATGTCTCATTTCCTTATATTTATAAAAATAAAAACACACACAGAGAGAACCTGCCATCCCAGCAGATGTTTCCATCTCTAAAAGTGCACTGTACTCCCGGATCGGCACCTCGGAGGCAGAGAGCACCCCGGGTCTTCTCTACCCACAGCA